TTTGGGCTGTAAATAATAAGGTACTACAAGCAAGAGATGAATTCAGAAAAGGAACTGACCAGTTTGCAAGCACAATTTAGAAAATGGGACTATTTCCCTAGTCTCTTTAGCCAGTAAAAGATTCTTAAATTATGATCCGACCTGGGAAGCAAAGACCAAATCCAGGGAGTGCCAGTGAAACATGTCTTAGAGTAAAAAACAAAACATAGGTGTGCCCTTGATTGTAGCGTCCTGTGTCGTAAGGTTCTTGAAATGAATAAGGTGCCATTTAAAATGATATTTTAGCAAGAGTAAGGTGCCTAGAAAGCGTGAGGACATGGTTCACAGTAGCCTGATGTTGGGATACCAGTCACCAAATGTGGAGAGAGGTATATTACCAAACGAATTGTGGGTACAGCTTTTGGCACATAGATTGAACTGAAATCAAATACATAGGAAACCCACATGATGTTTGAGAGAACACAAGGCAAATGAATTGCTACTGTGGACTAAAAAGGGTCTAAGACTTTTTGAAACAAAGAATTTCAAGCCTTCAACTTGTTACATATAGGCAGGAAGGGGTTGAAAGTTACTCCTCTGCCAAAGGGCACATTTTTTTCTCCACTCATTTATTTTTTAAAAATTTGTTCTTTTTAGATATACATGACAGTAGAATGTATTTTGACGTATACTACATACATGGAGGGTAACTTTCTGTTCTTGTGGTTGTACATGATGTGGAGTTACACTGGTCATGTGCTCATATATGAGCATAGGAAAGTTATGTCTGATTCATTCTACTATTTTCCCATTTCCATCTCTCCTCCCTTCCCTTCATTTCCCTTTGTCTAATCCAGTGAACTTCTGTTCTCCCCGCAACCTCCAGTTATTGTGTGTTAACATCTGCATATCAGAGAGAACATTCAGCCTTTGGTTTGCGGGGATTAGTTTATTTCACTTAACATGATATTCTCCAGTTTCATCCATTTATGGGCAAATTCCATAATTTCATTCTTCTTTATGGCCGAGTAATATTCTGTTATGTATATGTACCACATTTTCTTTGTCCATTCATCTGCTGAAGGGCACTTAGGTTGGTTCCATAGCTTAGCTATTGTGAATTGAGATGCTATCACATTGATGTGGCTATGTTACTATAGAATGCTGGTTTTAAGTCCTTTTGAGTATAAACTGAGGAGTGGGATAAATGGGTCAAGTGGTGTTTCCATTCCAAGTTTTCTGAGGAACCTCCATACTGCTTTCCATATTGGCTGCACCAATTTGCAGTCCCACCAGCAATGTAGGAGTGTGGAACACTGGGCTGGGTGTCACTCCAGGGAATGTTCCACTCCCAGAGCAGGACACTAGCCATGTGTGATTAGCAAATGCCTCCCCGTCTCCTTTCCTCAGATGAGCATGTCCCTGCTTATCCATCCCACTGGGTGTTGGGTGTTGCATGTGCAGGGTGTGTGGGTTGCATAATTTGTCTTTTTCAATTTGCATGTTTCTGGATCAAAAGCCACATCCAGAATGGACGTAGACCACACCATCTTGGACTTCAAGCCTGAAGTCGATTGCACAGGCTTTTGGAATCTTGAGTATACTTTACAGGTGGGACATGAATAACCATCGCTGAGGGCAGACTGTGTAACCTGGACTATTATTGAGAAATGGCCCCCCTTTCCCCTCATCTCAAACTTCCCAACTTCACTGATGGCAGGTTTGGCCCTGGTACTTACTTTGGCCAGTTCTGAGCAGAGATCTAAAGAGGACCCACCTCTGCCTGCGTGCTCTCCTCCTGTGCTTCTGCTCGTGTTCAGCTCCTTGGGGAGGATGAGAGTCACATGGGGCAGAGCCAAACTGCCCCAGCTAAGCCATCTAGATTAGCTGACCCCAGCCGACTCCAGATGCAGGAGCCACAGAAGACCAAGCCCCAGAAGACCCAGGTTCTTGATCGAAGTCAGCGTTCACTATTGCGTGGTGCTGGGCTTCCAGGGACAGCGTCAAGTGGCACCGTGGTGGTCAGAGTTAACGGCTCCGTTGAATGATCTTAATGGGCTTCTAAAGACTGGGGGTCACCCCGTCTCAGGCAGAACAGAATAATAGGGGGACCTGCTGCCCTCTTGCCAAAGCAGAGCACAGATGCTTCCATGCAACAAGTAGCAAAGCAGAGAGTGTGGGCCCAGTCAAGCCGGATCCAGTCTTCTCACCAGCCCAGCAACCATTCCCACGGAGAAGCAGGGAGACAGAAGAGGGAGGAGCAAGGACGGGAGTGTGGCTCCTGCTGTGTTCTTTCCACCAAGAACTTTGGCCACAGAAGAGGTCGGTCCTTCCCCGGGCACACAGTGATGGCTTTGGTGTGCTCTTAGAGAAGAGACCAGCGAAATTCTATTCCCCCTGGGTGTCTCCTCCTCTGTTTTGACCATAAGACCTTGCTGCATCCCATCCATTTGGAACTGAGTGCCCTCTAAGCCAGATGATGTCCCATGTGGTTTTGGCTTCAAGACTACCTGACCTGCGGCTAAGGTAGTTCTCAGGGAGAAAAGGAGGGAGTTCAAGGACCTGCACTGGGAGATCAGAAGTCTAATCCTGCAGGAGGTGCCCTCTTAGCCCTCTACCTCAGGGCATGCTCTCTCCTGTTTTCATGCCACAGTTCCTAAATCTGTCCCACCCCCAGGCTGGGCCTCATGCCTCCCTTTGGATTCTCTGAAGGTTTATTACAGTGGTTCAATGGTTCCCTAAAGCTGACTGCTACTCACGGCTGCTCCCCATGGTCCCTTCTGCCCAAGATGGCAGGTGGGTATCCGGGTTTCACCTGCCTGCCCTAACTCTTTCCTTGGCCTGCACCAGGAAACACCGCTTGCCCAACACGGGGCCCGATTATCTCCTTGCCACCACCCCCCCCCCCCCCGGCACAAATGGGCTCCATCACGCGTACCCACCACGGGGAGGTATCTAACAGAGGAACGCTGGGCCCACACCTGGATCCTGCAAAGCCACTTAGAGGTGCAGACCAGCTCGCTGGAAAAACAGCTAGATATTCATCAACCCTGCCCACACCCACCCCAAAGGGATAAGCAAACAGCCCGTAAATGCCTCAGAATTAAACATCTCTTGGCGAAGGTGGGAAAGTCAATTTTGACACTGTTAAGAAAAAATACAGCCTAATTTCCGTTCAATTGCACCAAATTTACTGCCCAGATTCTCATTAACGACTGTCAAGGGAGAAGCAGATAGACAAGATAAATTATGAAAAAATTACTTTTTTTAATGTACAAAAAGACTTATTTACAAGTTGAGCGTGTCATCTCAATTCATAGCATGTAGAAAAAGCTAAAAATGTTTTGGAGATATAAATTTGGCCGGACGACTCACCTACAGTATATTCAGGGACGACGTTTTCTTCACAAAATATATACAGGTTGGGGACGGCGAGCACAGCCCTACCCCAGGAAGGGAGCATACGCCACCAGAGCCACACACCCCTGGCGAAGGCTCAGGGCTGTCATTTGAAGTTGGCCTCATCTCTGGGTCTTAACAAGGAGTTTTGCTATCCTGGGAAACAGAGGGCCCAGTTAATCAGCCCTGGGCCCTGTCCACAGACTGTCGAGAAGTTCCTCTCAGGAGCCAGGGTCACAGCCGGACTGAAGCTACGTGGCACAGTTGTTTTGGCTAGGTTGCCAGGAATTCAACACGAGAAGGTTTGGGGTGCGTGCGCACAGCGGGAAGAGGCACCGGTTCACCCTCTGTATGCTCAGGAATGATGTCTTTTTGGAGTCACTTCCAAATTCCACTTGCAGGTGGGGCTTGGTCACACTGTGACCATCCCTCAGGGTCCAAGAATCAACCCCTTCACCCTCCCATCCCCACCCAAACGCCATGCAGGACATCATTCTCTGCCAAATAACCAGGGAGGGTAGAGGTCAGGGAATTCAGAAGTTATAGGGGGTGCTCGTTGTGGCCTGGAGTAGACCACTGATTGGGCTGCTGGTGACTACTCACCAGCATGCACCACGCGCAGGAGGCTGGGCAACGGTTGCCCTCGAGCCTAGAGTTATCCATGGTAAGGTGGGCAGACAGTGCATTGGAGAAACAGGACTAGGTAAACATGCGACTTCTTCCTACTGGGACACCTCAAGCTGCGGTGTGCCCTGGACTCCTCGAGGCCCCCGTCTTCCTAACCCACAGCAGCTCCAGCAACCCCGAGGTATTTAGAGACAAGCGTTCCTTTAGGAAGGGCTACATTCTACATGCATGAACACTGTAAACACGGAGGGGACAGGCCGGAGCAGCTTACTCCAGGTAATACACCTGTTCTCTCCTTTTTCCTGGTGACACTTACATATTTTATTCAATCATATATACGTGGGCAATCTGCCGGTCCCAAACACTGCTGCAGAGGGTAGAGATTCCAGCTCTACCAAACCTGGAGTTAAGATGTGTTTCCAACACATTTCGATGGAATGGGCTTTTTTTTTTTTTTTTTCTCTTTCTCTGTGGCAAAGGAACTCAGAGACCTCAAGGCTGAAGTTTATTAGAAGAATCCGGGTAGGCAGGAATTCCTTTTCCTTACAGGTGGCAGAATGAGAAGCCCAAATTCCTTGAGTAGAAGATCCAGTATGGCTTTCAGATTCAAACCCCACTGTGGCTCCCCGACCCTCTTTCTGCATGCACTTGGGAAGCCCTTGGCCGATGGAATCCCCCATTAGGCAAATGATAGAGGGGAGCAGCGAGAACCCAGTGGGTCCCACAAACACCAAAGGCTGACAAGCACTGTGTGCGTGAGTTTTTCATTCTTTTCTTTCCTATTGAGACCTTTTTTTAGCATTCTGAAAAATAGTCCAAAGGACCAGAGGATACTCACGAACTTTCTCTTCACACGTCTTTAGTCTGAACCATTGGCAAAAAACCTTTCAGCCCTATTTAATACTTTTTTGGAAAAAGAAAACATGAATGCCATTCCCATGCTCCGGGGAAGTGACGAATCCCTCTAGCTCTGCTCTGCACCAGGGTCCCGGGCCTTAAGTCATCATGTTCAGGAACTTGTTCTCCTCGGCCAGGCTGGTGAGCATGGAGCTCATGTCCCCCACGGCCATGTTGCTGATGCCCGTGGGGATGGAGGGCAGAGTCAGGGAGTTCCGGGGGGTGGTAAGGCGGGAGGAGTTCTGGGAGAGGCTGTGGAGGAGGCTGGGGCTGAGCGCACCCGAGAACAAGCTAGAGTGATCGCCGTCATCCATGATGGCGTCGAAGTCGATCTGGGGGGCCTCCAGGAGCTGGGAGTCCACGGTGCTGGACACCTGGTTGACCCCTGGTGAGGGCAAGGGCTGGGGCTGGATGCTGTCCGGGCAGGTCTGTGGTGCTGGTGGCTGGGGCCGCATGGCTGGGCAGCCTCCGTGGCTCTCCAGGCCCCCATTCTGTTCGTACATGTGGATCTGGCCATAGTAGTGGAGAGTGCTGTGGTCCTGAGTGCCGCCTGCATCCTGCGGAGGTGGCTGAGGAGGCAGGGTCACCATGGTGCCCATTGCTCCCTTGGGCACAGCCTCTGATGTCTCCTGATTGACTGACATGGCAGCCATGGCCTGGCTAGTGGCCCTGGCATAGGCCAACTGCTGCCCAGCACGTACCCCCCGGTGGCGGCCGACGGGGCTGGGCTCCAGGGGTGGCCGGGGTTGTACTAGGCCAAAGCTGGATGTGGCCACGCCCATGGTGCTCTGCTGGGACTCCAGGAAGCCGGGTTGGTGGGGGGGCAGAAGGCTAGAGCCTTGGCGGTAGCCCTCCTGACTCAGGGGGCCTGTCAGGTGGTGGCTCTGCTGTGGATAGCTCTGGGCTGGGTGAGGTGGTGGTACCCCAGCCAGTGCTGAATTGGGAACCCCAATTTCCCTGTGGTGGCCTCCCATCATGGAGGGGTTAGAGGCAACTTCCATCTGCTGAGGAAGCCCCAGGTGGCCTGGCTTGGCTGCCATATTGCTGCAGGATTGGGGGAACTGGTTCAGGGCCCCACCGGCAGTGCTGGGGCTCAGCTGAGGGTGGGCTTGGCCAAAGTTGGAGTGGGGGCTCCCTGCAGAGGTCATGCTGAGACACTGACCACCTGTGGCTGGCTGTCGCAGCGGCTGCATGTAGTTCACCCTGGGTGCAGAGGGGGCTCCGCTATGGGGCTGGAGGTGTGGCTGGGTGCTGTCCAGGCCCCCAGGGCTGGGCTGTAGGCCTTGTGGACTGTACCCCGGGTACTGGCTGAAGGCTGGCTTCTGCTGTACCACAGCCAGATTGCCCTGAGAGAAGTGCGGAGGCTTCACCTGGCTGGGCAGGGGGGCATCCATGGTGCCAGAGCTCACCTCATTCCACTGGACAGGCATGTTATTTTTGTTCAGGTTGGAGGGTGCCCCATAGCCCATCTGGCAGCCTCCCATTGAGGGGCCAGAGGGGCCCCCATTGGAGTCTGCAGCCACTAGTCTGCGATGGCCATGCATGCCTGGGCTGGGCAGTTTGGGGTTCTCAGGGAAGCTGGTGCTTTCCGTGGGGTACACCTGCCTTGTGCTCTCCTCCAGGGCACCACTGGTGTGTGCCTTGATGTATTGCACCACGTCATCCGGCAGCACCAGGTCATCCTCCGGCAGTCCCAGGTCGGACTCGGGCCCTGTGCCGTCCATCCCTGTGGCCATGGCCTCCATCATCACATTCTCGCTGATGCTGGGTGGCCTGGGAGAGTAAGCGGTATGAGCCAGGCTGCCGTCGGTGCTCGGGTGGCTGGGCAGGCGGAGGCCTCGCCTCTCGGTGCAAGGTGGCAGTGTCCCCGGGCTGACGTTGTGGGCGCTGTGGAAGCGCTGTACCCGTGGCAGAGCTAGGGCATCAGGCCGCCGCACGGGGTCGCTGGCCCGTCTTGTGCCGCCGCCTGGGGCTTCATGGGGGAAGGCGGGCAGAGCCCCCAAGTGACCATGGCCATGACCTTGACCGTAAGCCGGTCCGTCGCTGCCTCGCCGGGGCCCTAGTGGGTGTGGGAAAGAGGAGGGCAGAGATCGCTCAGGCGCATCCAGCAGCGCCAGCCTGGTCCGCAGGCTCATGCGCTCCAGGCCGGGGAGCGGTGTGGGTGGTGGCCCTCCGGTGGCCGCTGCGTACTTGGCCCGCAGGCTGTACTGCTGCGCGGGCGTGAGGTTGAGCAGCCCCGGGCCCCCGCCGCTGCACTGACTGGCCTCGCTGGACCTCCGCGAAGCGTCCGTGGAGATGGGGTCGTAGGAGTCCGCGGAGCTGGCGTTGTGGGGGCGGCCGGCGCCCAGGGGCGAGGCCTCGCTGGAGCGGCGGCTGGAGAAGTAGGGGGAGATGCCCGAGGAGCGGCGGCTCACGGTGTAGGCCGAGCTGATGGTGCTGGTGGAGCTGTCGCGGCGCTCCTGCAGCTGGCTCAGCATGGTCACCTCGTTCGCTGCCAACTCAGACAGCCGTGGGTTGGGCAGCAGCCCTGTGGGCCCGCCACCCCCAGGGCCGCTGAAGTTTTCCAGGCTGGAGCCTGTAGGGGAAGCAGAGGGGTCAGTTCTGGGGCCCAAGGAGCGGGGCTCTGCCTACTTGGGTGGTACCGAGGCAGTCTGCTGAGCCTGGAGCCCTAGAAGAGGGTGTGGCATACAGATGGCACTCAATAGAAGATTTGGAAATGAAAGGGAGCGTAGGAATGATAAATGAACAAATGGTGGCACTTATTGCCAGGGTGAGTGATTGAAAGCTAGGAGGCCTAAATCTTAGCTCTGTCACTGCCCTGCTGCCTGTGGATTCTGATGATTCTGCTCTTGTAGATAATGCACCTCTCTAAAGGATTGCACTCCACCCCAGCAATGGGGATTGAACCCCAGGTGCTTTACTGTTGAACTATGGGGCCATCTCAATAGACAAGAGTAGCACTTTTTTTTTTTTTACTTTTTTTTTGAGACAGGGTCTTACTAAGTTGCAGAGTCTGACCTTGAATTTGCAATCCTTCTGCCTCAGCCTCCCAAGCAGCCTGATCACAGACATGTGCCACCTTCCCTGGCTGGGACCCGGTTATTGTCTAGAGGGGATTAGGGCTACAGTCTCCTGTATCATCCGAGTCCACAGATGGGGGTTGTGAGTTGGGACCCCCGAAGGCTACTTATAAGGAGGGCCCTGAGATCCATACCTGTGAGGGGAAAGAAAGAACGTGGGGGTAGTCAGAGGAAGTGAGCCTAGGTTGATCTCAGAGGAAGGTCTGGATCTCCAGTGGCCCTTTAGTGCTGCCCCAAGTTGGGCCAACATGGCTGGTCCCTTACACTCCTGCAGTAATCACTGATGGATGTGGCTACTCAGGGAGGGGTGACCTTGGCTGTCCATAACCCAGGAAATTCCATAAGAGTTCAAGGTGATCATCAGCAGTCCCTCCAATAGTTGGGACAACAAATATTCCTTAGGATGGGTGTATCACAGTGTCCCCAACAAGGGGCTGTCAGTTCCTGGAGGGCTTGGGGCCTGAGTGCCCAGTGCCTAGTGCAATGCTGGGCATGCAGTTAGCACTCAAGACTTGCTTGCTGAAGATCCCTTCCATCTCAAAGCGCAGGTCGAGCAGAGTGCCACCTCCTCTAGGAAGTCCTCCTGCTCTTGCCCAGATAGACAGGCTTCTCTTTCCTCTGCATTGCTCTATACTTAGCTGTGTCTTTGGTGTCTCTCTGCAATACAGGGGTAGTCCAGTGGCAGGGCCTGCAGTGGTGGGGACTTTAGACAGTGAACACTGTCTACAGCAGGTGCTTAATAAATGACTGGAAAAGGAAGAGGATGATGTGGGTGCCCAAGGTCTGCCTCTTTTTAGGGGGCTACAGGGAAGCATCATGGTGCAATTGAAAGAGCACAGGGCTTTGGAGCCTCACAGGGATAGATGGTCTTACCCTTGAACTTGATTCAGATGGGGATGTTTTTGGCTTTCTCAGTCTCCTTCTGTGTGCAATGTGCTGGTGAGTGCTGGGTGGGAGTGGGTCTAGCTGGTGCAGCCCCAGGTTCTCTCCCACCCCACTCATAAGCCCTGGGCGTCCACTCACCACTTGCTGGGAGGGGAGGCAGCTTGGTGTTCCGGGTGTGTGCAGCTGGGCCAGCCCACGAGCAGGAATCCTTGAGCGACTTGAGCTTCTCCCTCTTGAGCTGCTCGAAGCGGTGCATGGTGGTCCCGTGTTTGCGCAGCTGCAGGCCACCAGTGGAGGGGGCAGCCAGGGCTGGGGCGTCGGCCCCTGGGGGTGTGTCATCCAGCGATGTCAGGTCTCCCAGGCTCCCGGGCCCCGTCCCCGGCATCTCCACGCCACTGTCATTGTTGGGGGCACTGCCCAGGGGAGAGGGCTCGCTGCTGCAGGATGACTGAGCCCCGGGGCTGGACTGACACAGCTATAGGGAGGAGGCAGAAGTCAAAAGCTCAGAGAGTATGCAGATGCACCTCGTCCTGCGTCCACCCTGCATCCACACCACACTCAGGCATGCTGGGACGGGGGCGTGGGGGGGAAGGACAACATCTCAAAGAGGAACTTGCAGACCATCGCTGTGGGTCTGCGTGAGATGGTCAAGTCACTTCACTTCGCTTAACCTTGGCCTTCCCAACTACAAGATGAACCTGCCTGCCTGCTGGGCACCTGGCATGTGCACAGGTCCCCAGATGGCAATGAGAGAAGGTGCTGAAGCAGTCCCAGCAACAGCGATGTACGCAGGATGAAGCAGAGGACGAGCCAAGAGTTGGTCCTTGTACTGGGTGGGGCCATATCAATAGGCCAGAGGCAGGTGTTAGAAAGGGGAGGGACACCCAGAGACGGGGAGCTTCAGGATGCAGCCTTGACTGAATGGCCGCTGCCCTCCCTCTGTGTTGAGGTGGAGTAGGGCAGAGAGCTCATGACCAATGCACAAGTCAAGAAAGACAGAGAACTCGGGCTGCACCCGCTGAGGCTGGGGATGGGACCTGGATGAAGCTCACCCTCTCACCTTGGATGCAGCACCTCAGGGCTCATTTCCAGACCAAATGCCCCCAAATCCTAGCCCTTTCCTTGGGAAGCTGTGATGCTTTCTCTCATTAGGACCCAAGCTCCCAGCAAACAGGGTCCTTCCAGGTCTTCTGGCCCATGGTACTCCTTATTCTCCTGTGGCTGGTCTTCAAGACCCTCTAGGTTGGTGCACCCCCTCTGCAGCCTGGTCTCCCCCCACTCTCCTCCTGACCAGCTATTCTGCAGCCACTGTTCCCCCACCTGCCAGCCCACTCCTGCTGCCAGCCTTTACCTACTTTGGTATTCCCACGTATAGTGCCCTGCCGTCTGCCTCTCCAAACCCACGGTCTGGGCCCAGGAGGCCTGGACTGACAGGTCAGTGTCCACCTGGGCAATGGTACCCACGAGAACCCCGGCCCACCCTCGCTCACCCCTGCCCGCCCCCACCCCCACCAGAATCCTCTGCTCACCTCAGTACCGTCTATCCTTAGGGGAGGTACAGTTGGGAAAGAGGCGGAGACAAAGAACAGGTGGTTAGAACAAAAGGAGCAGAGGCCAGAGGGGAAGGACGCAGAACAGGACAGAGGGTTGGGGACCCCCAGCAGCCCTCTGGTGCTGGTTGGAGAGGCAGACACGTAGGGACCGCCCCCACCCGGCACAGCCCGATGTGGGGAGCGGGCATCCTCAGCCCCGCCTCCAGCCCTGCCACAGCTGCCCAGCAGGAGCGAGGTCACAGAAAGGGACCTGGACAAGACAGGCTCCATGTGAGGCCAAGGCAATAAGGGGACAGAAAGCTGAGTTGGGGAGAGGAAGGACATCATCGCACCCTTAGGTGGGGGACCTCAGAGCAGAGCCCATACCCTCGAAGGGTCCTGGGTCCTGGCCCAGCTGCGAAGTGCCCTTTGCAGCTGGGTCGCCCGGCTCTGCTTACCCCGGAGCTCTCGGTCTTGATGGCTTTGATGTGCAGGCAGTCTTCCACTGCCTGGCTGCTGCTGCTGGCCTCAGCACTGTCCTCAGACCCCCGGCCACCAGGCTCAGTGCTGGCCTCGTTGTCTCCGTTCTCCTTGAGCAGCGGGGCGCGGAGATGCACATCGTTGCGCTGTTTCTTGGTGACGTGGGCGTCTGGGCCGTGGACCGTTTTCACATGCTTCCGGAGGGAGCTGGGGTCGGTGTACCTCTTGGTGCAGCCTGGGATTTTGCAGATGTAGGGTTTCTAGGAGGAGAACCAAGACTGTGTCATGGGTGGGAACACGAGGACAAACTCTGCAGGGGTGCACTCCCTATCCTGAAGCCATCCCAGGCCCCTGGATGACCTGGTTGGCACCACGGGTGGGCACTCTGCTGCATTTGCAGCCAGTGCCCTGTGCCTGGAGCACGCCAACTGCAGGCCCACAGCAGCCTGGCCCCAGCAGGCTGGGTACCACCTTTTCATGCAAATTAAGTGCATGGTCAAGGGTGCGCTTTCCATAAGACACTGGGGCACTGGTGAGAGAGACTTTGAAAGGGACACACATGCCTTCCTTGGGAGCCAGCACCAGCACCCTGAAGAGGGGAGATGGGTTCAGAGAGGAAACAAAACAAAACAAAAAAAACCTTACTGATAAAAGGTAAAGACTGGGCTCAAAGCTCCCCTATGACCACGCCCACATACAGGCACACCCCAGCCACACGACACCACTCCAAGTCCCCTCCCACCATCCCCGCCAGTTATACATTTACAATCATGCACATCCGCCCCCATTCATACCTACACATACACATGAGCCCACACACACACACACACACACACACACACACTCCTTTTCAAGGCTGGTTCTTATTCGTAGATGCCCTACCAGGTCCAGAGGCCTTTGGGAATTCCTCTTAACGTCATACAGGCATTGAAGCAAGGTCCATTTGGGGCCTCCACCTTATCTAAGCTATTAGAAATGCTCTTTATAAAGTCTTCCCGAGTCACAGCGATTGTATGGCTGGGCCGGAACTGGGGCCAGGGGTCGCAGACCCTGAAGGCACCTGCTGATTTCCCACCCTGGGCTCTCTCAGCCCTGCCAGGGCTCTGGCTACCCAGGGACAAAGAGTCTACCCTGGGCCCCAATGACAGGGAGCTCAGGGTCCCAGCAGACTCAGGCAGCACTAGCGGGTAGAACGTGTCACTATCAGCTACTGGGACTGCTGGAGCAGAAGCAGCTTGTGGAGCTCAGATGGCATCACCACGGCAGCTGCGCCACCGCAGGCATCTTCTCTTTCAAAATAGAAGATAAAGCACAGACAGGGAGCCTGGCGCACCCAGGTCCCCGAGGGGTGGTCGGCATCCAGGGATGTGCAGCAGGTAGTAGTGGGAGAGGGGCCCCCGGCACCTGGCTACCTACTGCCCGCAGGTGGCTACACATTGCAGGCTGCGCTTTGGCGCACTGGTCCCCGGGCCCCTGTGCGCAGGCGCGGGGTGGGTACCTCGTTGGAGTGGGTGCGGTTCTGGTGCTTGGCGCGGTCCGAGGCGTTGGAGAAAGCCTTGTTGCAGCCCTCGTGCTCGCACACGTAGGGCTTCTCCCCGGTGTGGGACCGCAGGTGTGTCTTCAGGTTCTCCAGGCGAGAGTAGGCCTTCGAGCAGCCTTCGAACTGGAAGGAGGTGGGGAGGTCCGTGAGGGCAGCTCAGGTCCGAGGCAGGATGCACTGCACCCCAGCCCAGTACCGCTCAGCTTGTGCCCAGAAGATGGGTTTCGTCAGTGCTAACAGTTAATATGTCTTGCCAGAAAACTGGGAAAGGGGCAGAAATGTCTAACAAGCTGACTCAAAATGGATCAAAGACCTTATTGGAAAAGCTAGACTATAAAACTAGTGTGTGTGTGTATCAAAATATATGTTTAAAACTATCAAATTCTTCGAAGAAAACGAAGGGGTAAACCTTTGTGACCCTGGATTAGACAGTGATTTCTTAGATACGATAAAAGCCTAAACAACCCATCGTTAGATTTCATCAAAGTTAAAGTTTTGGGCCTCAAAGGAAATTATCAGCAAAATGAAGACAACCCTCAGAATGGGAGAGATATTTGCAAATCATATGTCTGAGAGGATCTATTACCTAGATATATAAAGCTCTCTTACAACTGTTCTTCCCCCCCCCCCCCCACACACACACTGGGTACTGGGGATTGGACCCAGGGTAGGGGGGTATACGACTATATATCCAACCCTGTTTATTTTTAAAATTTGAGACAGCATTTTGCTAAGTTGCTGAGGCTGGCCTTGAAGTTGGGATCCTCCTGCCTCAGCCTCCTGAGTTGCTGGTGTTACAGGTGTGTATCACCACGCCAGGCAAGAAGTCTTACAACTTATCCATAAAAAGACACTGCACACTCACACAAAGAAAACCAAACCAAACCCAAGAAAACCCCCCAAACTTAACCAAAGTGGTTTCTAACCCATCATTGCTCAAATGCCTCCAGCTGTGACTCACCAAAGATGCTTTCCTGCAGGGTGCTATGGAGGTGGCTTTTCTGCCCAGTGTCCCAAGTTAATCAAAGTGGGCTGTGCTTGGGGCTTACAATCAGATGGCCAAGGTGACATCAGCACACCTATACTCCGGTTACCGAGTTCCTCGTGCCCAAAGAGTGAATTTGCTAAGTTCTGGGCAGCAGTGGACCGGTGGCCTTCAGGACTCCAGGCAGGCAGAAAGCCAGCGTGGGGACAGACAGGATGACTCACTGGCCAGACCTGTCCCCATGCTGCTGCCGTGGCCTGTACCACTCAGGTCTGCCTGTGGTCTCCAGACCACCACCCCCTGGCCTGGAGACGTAGGTCCTAAGGCTGCTGTGGGAGGAGGGTGCTCACCGTGCACTTGTGGGGCTTCTCGCCTGTGTGCCGCCGCATGTGGACCACCAGCATGTACTGGGCCTTGAAGGGCTTCTGCTCCCGCGTGCAGGCCTGCCAGCGGCACACGAATTCCTTCTTCTCCCCGTGGATGTGCTCGTTGTTGATGTGCTGCACAGGAACAAGCCCCAGGAGCCGGTGAACCCAGGTGCCCGCCCCATGGACCCCCAGGGCCACTGCCACGTGCAGCTCCCAGACCCCTGAATTGTGGCTGGTTAAAAGTGCTGTGTGTGTGTTTGTGTGTGGGGGCGTCTAAGTGCAAACTACACACTAGTTTCAAAGCCTCAGTAATTTAGTGAGGCCCTAAGTAATTCAGTGAGACCCTGTCTGTAAATAAAATACAAAAAAGGGCTGGGGATGTGGCTTAGTGATCAAACGCCCTTGGATGCACTCCATAGTACCTAAATAAATAAATTAGTACAGGCAAATTAGTACAGTTTTCAAAGACTTAGACTGGGAAAAAATGTACATTATCTCAATTAACGTCGTTCTATACTGATGGTATTGGTGACAGGATAATATTTCAGCTATTAAGTAAATAAAATATATCACAGGGTAAGCATCCTTAATCTGATATCCAGGTACAACACTTTCTGAGAAACAACTCAATGCCACAAGTGGGAAATTCCACACTTGATCTCACGGGATGGGTCCCCGTGCACTAAAAATACTATATAAAATACTATATTAAATTACCTTCACACTGGCAGAAGGTGTACACAAAACAGAAGTGAATTTCATGTTTAGACTTGGATCCCATCTCCAAGATATCTCATTATGTATATGCAGCACTTCCAAAATGCAAAAAAATCCCAAATCTGAAGCACATTTGGTCCCAAGCATTCTGGATAAGGGAGGTTTTCTAGCTGTTTTAAAGTTAACTTTGCTTGTACTAATTTATTTATTTAGGTACTTTGGAGTGAATCCAAGGGCGTTTGACCACTAAGCCACATTTCCAGACCTTTTTTGTATTTTATTTAGAGACAGGGTCTCACTGAATTACTTAGGGCCTCACTAAATTACTGAGGCTGGATTTGAAGTCACGATCCTCCTCCCTCAGCCTCCTGAGCTGCTGGGATTACTGGCGTGTGCCACCGTGCCCAGCTTGCACTTTTTTTTGGGGGGGGATGCTGGGGATTGAATTTGGGGCACTCAACCACTGAGCCACATTCCCAGCCCTATTTGATATTTTATTTGGAGACAGGGTCTCACTGAGTTGCTTAGCACCTCGCTTTTGCTGAGACTGGCTTTGAACTTGCGATCCTCCTGCCTCAGCCTCCCGAGCAGCTGGGATTATAGGCGTGCGCCACTGTGCTCGCCTGTACTATTTTTTAATGCTTATAGGAAATGTAAAATTGCATACATGGATGGCATTTGTAGCTTGCAGTCTCCTTCTCCTGGACAATGTAGCTTGATCTGTGTGACCTATGAAGCTGAGCATCAGGCCTTTGGTGGCACCTGATCCCAGAAGACAAAAAGCCATCAGGCACCTGTGCCCTGTGCAAAGGCTCCACTGTCAAGCCCACAAACACCTCCACTAGAGCAAGTAAACTACACAGCACTTTGAACTTCCAGAGAAATCCTCTCCTATTAGCCTCCCTTTCTATTTTTAAAGTCTTTCAAATGATCAAAATGCTTCCTGACAATGCCTTTCATTTTTTTCTTATTGGTTTACTTAGCAACAAATTGTTAATAATCGAGTAGGGGCTCCCGCTCGCCCATCCATCTTCCCAGGGAGCAGCAGAGAGAGGCAGAGCTGGAGAAAGGGGCCCCTCCTCTCCCGCAGAGCAGCCCGCTGTCTCCAGAGCCAAGTGGAGGTGGCCACCTGCAACTATAGGGACAGTCCTGTGCCTACAGCCTTTCTTTCTAGGTCAGGATTCTGTGCCTATTCTTTTTTTTTTTTTTCCCCGTACCGGGGATTGAACCCAGGGGTGCTTAACCACTGAGCCACATCCCCAGGCCTTTTTATATTTTATTTATAGACAGGTCTCCCTGAGTCACTTAGGGCCTCGCTAAGTTGCTGAGGCTGGCTTTGAACCTGTGATCCTCCTGCCTCAGCCTCCTGAGCCACTGGGATTACAGGCATGTGCCACCATGCCCGGCTTATGCCTGCTCTTTGGGATACATCTTTTGTGTCCTCACCTCTGCACTGTGGTTTGAGCCCCCTCCCATCCCGAGATGCTGACCCTCTCTTCCTTTAATCATATCTGATCTGTTCCACAAACCACAGCTCCAAGCTGCCTCTTCATCAGGGATCCCAAAGAGGTGGTACAGGTTGAAAGATCATGTTGGAGTTTTGGAAGGGATTAGCTGAGACCCTGAGATGCAGGTTCTGTATCAGCTGCAATGGGTTTGCTGGTAAATTCTGGTGTCCTGGGTGACAGTGTTGGGAGGAGAAAGACATCTATGGTGTTTGGGAACAAACCACATTGGAAGAAGCAGAGGGAGTTGGTGTGTTCTAACTGCCAAGTTCACATTACACCTGACTACTACCATAATGGATGCTGCTGTCTAAGAGTTTGAATGGGGACAAAGAGACATACCCTGAAGGACACACTGACTCTGTGGCCTTCTTTGCCTAAGCTGTTAGAATCTGGACATAGCCATCCACCTAAACCCAATACACTGTGTATCTGCAAATGGTCTCCAAGAGGAAATTACTAACTCTTTCCTCCATAGGAGAACCCTTTTTCAGGTTTTAGAGTCAGACTTTATTATTAGAGAGCCTGGCTGGTTTAATTAATCGGATTTCCCTTCGTGCATTGGCTGCTAGGACGCTTAGGCAGGAAGATGTCCGTGTGTGATCTCGAGCTCCGAGCACTTGATTTTAATACGAACTCTCCTCCTGGCTTTACCCTGTTGTTCCCTTTGTCCTGATTTTCTCATTCACTTATTCTTTGACTCTTGTGTTACACATGTATTTGGAAGTCTTCTTATGGGAAACAGGCAGAGCACAAATAAGTCATTATGCCTCCCACTCACAGAGGATGCAACCCAGGGTCCTCCTGGGGCCTCCCCCATCAGCCTCTTATTGCAGCAGAGGCACTGGAGGCTGCAGGTCCAGTGTGGTGGGGGCTCCGCCCACCGTGGGCAGAGGCTGGAACGTGGGGTGGAGTCTGGGATGTGGGCTGGAGGCTTACGTGCACCAGCTGCTCCTGGGTGTCATACTCCTTGCTGCAGTCCTCCCAGTGGCAGTTGGTCTCGTAGATGACCACCTCGGCCTCCTGCTTACAGTCGTCCCTGTCCAGGTCTTCCTTGAGGTCAGCCAGCTGCTCCTGGGGCGGGGGGAGAGCAGATCACACCCTCAAGAGCCGTGTCTAGCACGGGATCCTATTAGCCCTGTGCAGAATGCCAAGGACCCTGAGCAGACAGAGGTGTGGACACACGTGCACACATACGGACATGTGCAAACACATACACACACACACTCATCCAGAAGATCCCCGTCCATAGCTCTTCTTATCAGCAGCTGTCCTTTCTCTAGGGCTGGCTTGTCACCACCAGGTATTCCATCACCTCTTGCTTCTACTGACAGCCAAGGAGGACAGGAGAGAGCAGGGCAGCGACTTTTGTTTATTTGGGTTGGTCTCCACTGTGGGGAGCTGGGGTGGGCTCCGTGGGCTTTGGGAGGAGGAACATTTTTTTATTTATAATGTGTGCAGGGCCTGCTCCTGACGGAGGTGACAGGAAACCAACAGGTGTCTGGCTTGGAAGTGTTACTCTCCCGTTGTTCCTCTCTGAAAGGCTCGGGAGACACCTGGATTTGCACCAGGGTAATGCTACTGTAGCTGCTCACTGCTCAGCAGAGGGAATGCCTCCAGAACATTCTCCCTGCACCGGTCCTAAAACGTAGTTTGCATTCTCGTATTACAGCTGGGAAAACTGAGGCTCTGGAAATGGTTGACCTCCTGGAACCCACAGCAAGACTGCAGCAACCTAGATCTGACTTTGAGTTTTTCACGTTATTAGGGCCCAGGAAAACCCCATTTCAAGGTGGGGCTTCCCCACCCCAGCTGGTGCCAACCCAGAGCCGAGGGGAGCCTCTGAGTCATGGGGACAGACCAGAGGAACCTGCAGGGGGGGTTGGGAGGGCAGATCAGATGCCCCAGGCTGAGAGAGGGAGGGCCCAAAATGTTCTGTCGAGGACTTTCTAATACGCCACTCATTTACCAGTCAGGCTTGGAACAAAGCCGAGTGAAGAGGTGACCTTACAAACACTTGCTTGATATTTCAAACTATTTTCAAAAATAGGAGGAAAATGTTCTATCTTTCCAAACAGCCTCTGGGGACAGCATGCCCAGTGCAGGTGAAGGGGAGCATCTCTTGCCATGGTCAAGAGCCCTAACGGATGCTGGCTCCTGAGATTTAGCCAAACTGAGTCCATTTCTAGGAGCCCAGAAATCAGCAGAAATGGCTCCCGGCTGTGGGGTGCCGATCACCTCTTGGCCTGACTTTTCCACGGGGGACTCAAAGAACTCTTCCTAAAAAGGGTCCCGGCTGTTTTCAGGGTAACTTTAAATAATGCACTCTCTGAAAGGAAACCAGCACTATAACTGGGCTGAGTGGGGACCACGGGACAGGACCCTCAGGAACGCCTCCTCCTGCATCTTTAGCAGAGGAGGGCGGCTGAAGGGAGACCGTGGAGAAGGGACCCCCGGGTCTCCTAATGCCACTCCTAATGCATTTGAAGGAACACCAGGAGTATTTTGCTATTTCCAGACACTGAAGGCTTGGCTCACTTCAGACAAGACCCAGGGAGACTGGTGGGCTGACAAGTGGAGGGAAGCTCCCAGGACACGACCACGGGTCCCTTGGCGACGCTGGCATCATCCGCCTGCAATTCTGAGCGCTTCGGCAGAGCAGAGATTCATCGTGCTGCATTTTTCTGCCAAGGCAAAGCCGCCCGTCCACCTTGCTGTGAATCAGGACTCGGAGTGACAGGAGGACCACCCCCTCGTGATAAAATGCTTTCCTTCCACGGACATCCCCAGCAGCTGCTGAGCGGGGAGGGGGCTCTGTGCGGCCCACCTGGGCTGGAGGGCGGTCCCAGGGCCCCCCTGATGGCGGGTGGGACATGGGCCTCCCAGGTGCTCAGTGCCTGACTCCCGCCCCGCCTGCCACTCCAACCTGTTTATCTTCCCTGGATATGTGCTGTCCTCATCCATTTCAACGACCCCTTATGATGGCCAGCCTCATGAAAGCCATGCATCATGTAGAGACTGGTTTTGGTGTCAGCGAGGGGGAGAATTTGTCACCAACCCCTGTTTGTCTGACAATAACAGGGCCCGATATTTCATGAAAATTAAGTGCCCAGAGCATGCCCGATGGTTTACAGTCGTGATAAAGGATGGTCCGGCAGATGTGGGGAGACAGGGTACCAGGCATCCTTGGTGGCCGACCTGGGGATTCTGTAGTAACAGATGGCAACTGGGTCACTGTGTGAGGGCTGGGTGGGCCAGGTGGGTCACCTTCAAAGTCAGCAGGCCCTTTGCATGACTGGCCCTTGCTCCAAGATTGGGAATTCTCTGTCTGCCATCTTGGGGCTTTAGAATAAGTGGCACAAAGATCTTGGCTATCCAACAGGCCAGCCCCAGGCTGTAAGCTGCTGGTTCTCACTCCTCCTGCCAGAAATCATACTCCCTTCCCTGTCCCAAGATGATCCAGGAGCTAGGTTGAGTGTCTGGGCAGATGCGAGTCCAGTGACCTCGGAGAGCCAGTGGCAATGAAGGTGACGGAGCGTGGACGGAGTTCCGGGATGAGGGCAGCCCAAGGAGCCTGGGCCGTTCAGGGATGTAAGCAACGCATTTTGGCCGAGGCATATGCTGCTCAAGATTGAGGCATGGGGAGAGGTGGCCACAGCAGGGACAAGGTGGAAGGGCAGGTGGGAGTTTGTTCATTCATTCTTTTATTCATTCATTGATAAACATGTGGTATGTACAGGTTGTGAGGCAGTCATGGCTCTGGGAACCATCTCGCCCTCTCTGATTGGTTCGTTTGTTCGTTCGTTCGTTCATTCATTCATTCATTCATTCACACAGCCACCCATCTACCCACCCTCCATTCACTGGTCCATTCCTTTTCATCCACAGGTGAAAGGCCCAAAGGCAGCCAACCCAGGAGAGCTGGCCTGGTCCCAGCTCAAGGCCAGTGAGGGTGGCCATTGGATTACCTGTGTCAGTCCCACTGGGGAGGCAGGCCGCAGGCCCTCAGCTTCAGTCTTGACCTTGCTCCTCTTGTGAATGGTGATGGGGTTCCCGGTGCTGCTCACAGCCGACTCGCTGCTCTGCTTGTTCTGAGAGGAGGAGCAGAGGACAGCCTGTCACACAGGTGCAGGACAGGACACCCCGAATTCGGATCGGACTCTACCTCTGACACCTCCCTACACTGAACACGTAGGCCAACCCTGTGTTTGAAGCAGCAGAAGTTGAGTCTCTCAGCCTGGTCCTCCAGCCAGGGGCATACCCGGGAAGAAGGCCAGACCTAGGCCACCACCACTCCCCTTTCCATGAGCTGCCACCTCAGCTTTGCAAAGGGTGGAGGAAGGTGAAAAAGAGACCCCTTTGGAAAATGCTGGAAACCCTTGCTCATGTCCTGTTGAGGTTCAACTTCTCAGATTTCCAGAGCAGGGGACCCAGGGCCTGGCTTCTCAGCGGAAGGGCAAGGGCTGCAGTCTCAGATGACACTTCAGAAGCCCATTGTAACTGTCTGGGGAGGTGTTGGGACCATCTGGAGCTCTGGGACACAGCCATATCTGGGCACTGCCACTTGCCAAGCAGTGGCCTGGGGTGCTTGCTCCTCCTCTAGGATTGTCTTCCCAAGTACCACTCAGGACCCAGGGTCCACGGGGTCTTGTGTGCACACAGGAACTTGTTTATATGCGGAGTGGCCCAGCTTAGGTGACAGGTCCCTATGTGTCGATGAGTTAGCTCAGGCTGAGAGAGGTAAAGTCGTTTGCTGCAAATCAGGAACCAGGCAGGGTCTGACAATTCCAAAGCCTGTGCCGGTCTATTATATAGTCCTGTCCTTCTCAAGCCATGTCCCCAGCTGCAAATTAAGACCTCACTGGCACCCAGGGGTGCCAGGTACCTTGCTAGGATGCCCAGGCAAGGCCTAAGGCCTATTGGAGAGTCAAGGTGTTTGAGAACATTCTGGAAACAGATGCTGTAAGATGAACCTGCACGAACATCATTACGGTTGGTTCATCCATTCATTTCACACGCGGTGCGTGGTGTGCCTACGTGGTGCCGGACCCCGTGAATTGGAGGGTTCTCCATCCACTCATTGTGTTTATTGGACCAGAGACAGCAGACCCCAGAGGCTGAAAGGTTGCCATGGACAAAGCCCAGGGCTCCCCCATCATTCAGCCCCTTTTATCCAGAAGACGTCCCACCAGCCACCCCGGGTCCCAGAGTCCTTCCACCAATTTCCAGCATGCGTGGTCACTGAACGGCCCTTGCGGGGCCAGCTGGGTATATGGTGGCCACCTCTGCTCCTTGGGCCCACCTACCTGGTTGGCGTCGCTCACACAGTTGCTGCCGCTGCTCAGCTGGGTGGACACAGCACTGATGGAGGTGAGGGCCATGGGTTGCTGAGCCAGGAAGGTGGGCGAGGGCTGGATCAGGGGTGGCGTGTGTCCGAAGGCGGAGCCCAGGCCTCTCTGCTGGCTCAGGATCTGCTGGTAGGCCACGGGGTTGATGGGGTGGGGGAAGGTGAAGGCTGGGCTGCAACGGAGAGGAGGTGAGGATATGGGGGAGAGGCAGGGGCCTCCGTTAGGCTGAGACTTCCTGGACAGAGAAGACCCTGCCCAGGGCATCGAGAAGGGCATGGTACGGGCTGCACCATCCCTAAACCAGCGGCGGCTCCCCTTTCTTTGCCTGTCCCTTGGGCCTTTCGTGCTTAGCTCCTGGGGTACAGCCTTCACCCCCCTGGCAGGGTGTCCCCCTGCAGATGCCAGGCTCCATTTCACCCCCACATCCTTAGCTGTCATGGCCCTTGTCTGTAAGCCACTCTTCCCAAAGCAGGACACTGAGGAAATGCTGGTGACTCTGGACAACCAGGCCCTCAAAGACATGGTGGTGGCTTCCTGTTTGCTCCTTCTAGCACCCCAGGGCCGGGGGGCTGCTGCCCTGTGTGAATCCCTTGTGACAGCGCTGTCCGCGATGACAGTCTCCTCTGTTGGCACGCTTGGTCACCTCCTGACTTCTTCTGAAGTCACAAGTGCTGATTCACAGATGAACCTTTGCTCCTCAGGTTCAAAGTGCCCACTGAGAAGCCAGACCCTCCCCTGGGGGACCCCAGCCCAGCTCCCCGTTCTCGGCCCTTGGCTTGCCAGCAGGGCTCACCTGAGGGCACCGGCGGACAGGTGCCCGTAGGAGCCGCTGGCCGCGGAGCTGCTCCGGGAGTTGTTGATGTAGGCCACCAGGGAGTTGGGCGAGGTCCGGATCATGCGCTGCAGGTCGAGGCTGGCATCGGAGAGCGGGGAGATGGACAGCGCCCGCTTGCGGCTCAGCCGGGGGGTCACCCGTGGGCTGGAGAATCGCGACACTGTGGAGCAGCCAACAGGAGTGAGCATCACCGGGATTGGGGGAGGTACGGGAGCGAGGAGGACACACAGGCAGGGGACAGGAAGAGCCCACGAGGTGTCCTCCTGGGAATCTCAGCTCTGCCCTCCTTGCGGCTGTGGGTTCTTGGATGGGCTCATAATCTCCCCCAGTCTCGGTTTATTTATCTGTCAAATGGAACTGATCAGATCGGGGTGTTGTAGGGAATGGAGAGGTGGTTTCTCCCAAGAAACAGGGCATGGCCAGTGTCTCCAGCCCCCTGCCCCTTCCAGACCTACCCCAAGGGCAGTGTTATGGTCTGTGTGAGCTGTCCCCCCAAAGCTCACGTGTGAGACAGTGCAAGAAGGTTCAGAGGGAAAATGATGGGGGTTGTGAGTCTTAACCCAATCAACGAATTAAACCCCTGAATTAATCCCCTGATTAACTGGGTGGTAACTGCAGGCAGGTGGGGTGTGGCTGGAGGAGGTGGGGACTGGAGCATGGCTTTGGGTATATATTTATATCTGGAAATTAGGGTCTCTCTGCTTTCTGATCATGGTGATGTGTGAGCTGCTTCCCTCTGCCGCCCTCTCCCACCATGGTGTCTTGCCTCACCTCGAGCCCAGAGAAATGGAGCCAGCCTTCTATAGACTAAGACCCTGAAACCACGAGCCCTCACACTTTTCTTCTCCTCTGTTGTCCTGGTCAGATCTTTTAGTCACAGCAGCAAAAAAGCTGGCTAAAATAGTCAGCCACGCCAGAGGGCCAGGTGGTAAAGGCTTGGTTGTCCCCAGTCTGGTGCCACTGGGAGATGGGGCCTAACTAGAGGTCTTTAGGTCACCAGGGTGGGCCCCTGAAGGGGTAGTAAGGCCCAACCTCTTCCTCTTCCTCTCTTTTACTTCTGGGACACGGAGGTGAGTGGTTTTGCCCTGCTGTGTGCTTCCCCCATGATGCGCTACCTCTCTACAGGCCCCAAAGTAACGGGGTCATTGGGTCATGGATGAAGCCTCGAAAACTGTGAGCCAAAATAAACCTTTTGTCTTCATAAGTTGATTATCTCAGGTATTCGTTACAGTGCTGTTAAGCTGACTGACACAGTTGCGATTCTGGTTTCCAACTCACAGCTTAGTGTTGCCTGATTTTGAGTTTTATGTGAGCGAATCATAAATTCTCTTTCATGCCTGGATTCTTTCATCCACATTATGAGCTTGTGAGCTGTCTCCATGCCATCGTGTGTGGCGGTAACTGGCTCATTCCCGTTGCTGTAGAGCAGCCCAGGGACAGGAGAGTGAATGGAGGTAGGTGTTCCAAAGTCAGATTATGTTGCAACTGGGATCACACTAAAATTGGCCCCCCAAACACACTCTGGTAGGCCACTTGCTAAACTGGGCCCTAGATGGCTACCCTATGCTCCTAGCATGATGCCTGGGCTCTTGGCTGGCTCTCCAGAACCTGTGGGGACAATAGAAAGGACATGCGCAGGAACAGCAAGCAGGATAGCATGACAACACACGAAGCTCTCCATGCCGGAGTCCCCAAGGCTGCAGGGACGTGCTGCTTTGAATGTGCCCACCACACATGCATGCCCCAGCCGTCCCTCCTGTCTGCTCTGGCCACAGGGCACACTCGGCTCAGCTTCCTGCTGGTGTCCCAGGGCCTCTCGCTCCTGCACTCCTGTGACACAGCCCCGACCCACTGGCCTTGGGGCTATGCTTGCTTGTGCATGTGCCACCTGCTGTCCCTAGAGCTGTGGGGGTAACAGGGGTGATGCCTGTGAACCTCCCCCTCCCCCTCCCCCCAGAAGGTGAGGAGACTGCACAGAATCCACATCTGCCAATGGAGAGGCTGCACCCCCACCCTGTGGGGCCACCATGCCTCATGGCCACCACCAAGCTAGGCCAGCCTCTGGGGGAGTCCTGGGAATTGCTGGGGAATCCCCTTCTGCTGGGCTGTGGGAGGAAACCTCTCTGGGGCTGTGGAGGGGTGGAGGGGGCCCCACAACCCTTAGACCAGGAGGGGTTTCTGGGATTCTTTTCTAACTACCTCCTTCATGGACATGGGGGATCTGAGGTTGCAGATTGGAGGAGACAGGTACAGGGGACAGAGGGGCTCTGGGCCCGGGAACGCAGACCTTGGTTGGCACAGTGGTGGGTGAGCTGGGGTGGGGCCCCGGGCACCCTGGCTGGTGTCCTCCTGCAGCCCTGGGGTTGTGAATCCAATGGGATGGCAGACACCGGGGGGCCGTGCAGCCCAGATTGGTCCCCCATCCTAACACGTGTGTGAGTCTCTATGTTGTGTACTTTGTTTTCTTTTTTTGATTTTATTTTATTGGTCCTTTTTAGTTATACATGACAGCATAATCCATCTTGGTATCTTTAGACAAGCAGGGTCTATATCGTGCTCTAATTCGGACCCCACGGCCTCTCCTTCCCCTTCCCTCTCCGCACCCCTGCTCCCTTCCCTCTACTGATCTTTCTGGAATTTACCATATTTACTTTTTAGATTAATTTCTTGGGGCCGTACACTGTGGTGGGAGTCGCTGTGGTACGTTCGTATAGGGACACAGGAGAGTCATGTCAGATTCATGCACTGTCTTTCCTTCTCGAAGGTGACGTGGCTTTGGGAAAGCGCCCTTTGGAGGTAAAAGCTGAGCTACTCAGAAGACTCTCTCTCTACACCATCTCTACCTTTGCTCTTGTCAGCTCAAGATTCTTTGGTTTTGGCTATTTTTTTCCCTATGGGGACAGCTATGGGGGTGTTCTGGTTAGACTGTGTTCTCAGAAAGCTTATATATCAGAAACTTAACCCCCAAATTCATATGTTGGTGGCATTGGAAGGTGGGACCTTAGGGAGGGAATTAGGGGGAGATGAGGTTCCGAGAGTGACCCTAGCTAGCATGCAGGCTCTGTCGGGCCATCTGAGGCCCTTTACCATATTATGATTCAGCAAGAATACCCTCACCAGATGCCAATACCATGTTCTTGAACTTCCCAACCTCCGGAACTGAGTTCAATCAACCTCTATTCTTTATACATTTTCCAGTCTCAAGTATTTTGTTATAGCAACAGAAAATGGCCTAGGATGAGTAAGTGCACAAAAGGTGCTCCATAGATGCTTCTGGGGACGCTGCTTGCTTGGTCCCACAGAAGGGCTAGAGCACAGCAGGTGGAGTAGAGCAGGAAGGATCCCAGGCCACACATCTGACTTAGACACAGGGAGCACAGGGGACCAGGGAGGCAGACACACTCCTCGGCCAGCTCTGAGGCTGGGCCGCAAACATGACCCTTCCATGTTTGAAGGAGGTCGGTCCCCAGACACCAAGCAGACACCCTGGCAAGTCAGCATTCAGAGCCAGCGTGCTCCTTGCAAGTGGTGTTTGGGTGAAAGCCTGTTGTCAATTCTTGAGTGACTAATAGCACACGGGCCGCCCCTATCTAGTGACACTGAAGCCCTTGGTTTCATTTAACAGCCAACACGGCCCTCCAATATCAGCTTTGCAGATAAGGAAAGGAGGCTTGGGAAGGTCGTGACTTGCTCTAGGTCCCTGAGGATTTGAATTGGAGCCCAAAGGAACCCTGCTGTGTGGCTTCCCTGGAGACACTGCCTGTCTTCAGCAGGCTTGGGAGAAGGCCAAGGTCAAGAGGACACTCCTCCCCACTTGTCAACATCCCGCTGCCTGCTTGTCCTCTGCTGTCTGAACGGCAGGTCTGACGCAGCGGGTCTCCACCCTCAGCCTGCTCGGCCCCTCACCGCCCCTCTTGCAGGGCTGAGCTTGACAGGCATACACAGCCAGGAAACCTGGGCGTTGGCTAGAGGCCTCCTTTCTTCCTGCACAGCTGGACCTGCCGAAGTGACCTCCTGAACCCCTTTTTAAAATCCCCTCTCTCTCGAACTCCACTACCTGCCCGGGTCCAAAGCTTGCTTGAATCATCCCAGAGCCTCTAAGCTATTCAACTCACCTTCCTCACTTTGGCAAAAGAGAGCTTTTCAGCTTACAAAGCAGATATACCCCAACCCTCCCCCTAAAACCTTCCAAAGCTCCCTAGTGCTATTGCAAAGGAGGAGGCCCATTGCCATTATGGAAAAGGTCTACGATGTGGCCCTTGGGGTTTGGTCCTACCCCACCGGCCTCCTCCTCCCCACTCTTTCAGTCACCTGCTCAGGGACTTTGTTCACACAGCTTCTTCTGCCCACCAGTTCTTCCCTGCTGTGTGCTCAGAGCTCTTTCCAGGGGTCACCTCCCCCTGATCTCCCCAGGTGGGGCAGCTCCTCCCTGCAGGCAGACCATTCTCTCCAAACAAGGGTCGCACTGGAATCTGCACCGTTTCTGTGGTTGACAGCTTGCTTCTGTCTCTCCCCCTTCATGAATCAGGGACTCAAACTCCCCGCTGCCACCAACATGGAATCCCTGACACTGGAAATACAGCTGGGCCACCTGCCACACAGCCATGGCATGTTGAGGGGCAGAGAAATCACAGCCACCCAAACTCAACCCTTCCTGAATGGCTCCGTGGACCAACCTAGGTCCTGCTGAAAGCACTTGAAAATGTTGAGCATGTTAATCCTCACACCTGCCCCTTTAGGAAGGGGCCCTTAATGTCCTCACTTGACAGAAGAAAACCAAAGGTATCGGGAGGCCAAGTAACAAGCCCAAGGCCATACAGCTATGGGGACAGAGACCAGGACTGAGACGCAGGTGCCTGGGTGCCCAAACCACCTTCCTATGCCCAGGGTGGGGACCAGAGGTGTCTTAGGGAAGGGATGACTATGGAGGATGGACAGACAGACACACACTCATATACATGACACAGAAACACAGACAACCTGGGCCTGTTGGCCCCCAAGCCTGTCACTTCCTTGGAGCACATCACCGAATCTCCCTGGGCCTCTCTTTCCCCATCTGTACAATGGGGACCGCGTGGCTTATTGTGGCAAAGAGTCGCCTACAACCCTACAGATGTTCCCAGATGAAATGGCTAATTAACATAGCTTCTACTGGGGCTC